TGCGTGCGTGCAGGCTGCGTGCGTGCCGTGCGGCCGTAGCAGTTGGTGCAGTTTGCCGTGCGTGTCCGTGCGTGCAGTGCGTGCGTGCGTGCGTGGCGTGCGTGCGTGCGGGCACGTGCGTGCGTGCCGTGCGTTGCGTGCGTGTGGGTGTGTGTGTACAGCTGTGGTGTTGTTACAGTGTGTGTGCTACAGTGGTGTGTGTGTGTGTGTGTGTGTGGTGTCTGTGTTGTTGTGTGTGCTGTGTGTTGTTTGTGTGTGTGTGTTGTGTGTGTGTGGTGTGTGTGGTGTGTGTGTGTGTGGGTGTGTGTGTGTGGGTGTGTGTGGTGGTGTGTGGGTGTGTGTATGTTTTACGTGTGTTATGCACATCACGGTGGTTGTGACTAGCGGTCGCCGAGCGTACTCATGCACGCGTATGTATACTATAGTAGCACTTTCATGTGTGCGCAGCGGGTACCTGCGGGGCTGTCTTGACCGGCAGTGGCTGTATTACCTGCGTGGCGTTTACTGAGTGGCTGTTTACCGTGGCTGTTTTACCTGCGTGGCTGTGTTACCTGCGTTGGCTGTTTACCTGCCGTGGGTGTTTACTGGCGGTGGGGGGGGGGGGGCTGTTTACCCTTGCGGGGCTGTTTACGCTGCGTGGCTGTTTACCTGCGTGGGGTTACCTGCGTGCTGTTTACCTGCGTGGTCTTTACCCTGCGTGGCTGTTTACCTGCGGGCTGTTTACCCTGCGTGGCTGATTTACTGCGTGGGTGATTTACCGCGTGGCTAGTTTACTGGCTGTGTGTTTACCTGCACGCCTATGTATAAGCTGTGTGGTATTGAATCAGCAGTTAAAGGACGATCACTAATTCGCCGTGAGCGAGGGAGTCACAGGCCGCCGCCGCCGCCTGCGCGCTCGTTAGGGTACGCCCCGCGAGCATGCACGCACACACGCACACACCGCACGCATTACACAACGCACACACGCACGCACACACGCACGCAGTACACACCGATTTCATACACACACGCAGCACAACTGCACGGCACGACACGCTACGATAAACATACGCACACACGCACGACACACACCGCAAAGCAGTCCACAGGCATGAGTACACCACCGGCGCGCACACACATAGACACACACAGACGCGCCGCGCACGCACGCACGCAACGCACGCACAACACACGCACGCAACGCATTTACACACACGCGAACACAATACACACACACAGACGCACACACACACAACACACACAACATACACAACCCACACACACATAACACACACAGACACACACACACACACACACACACACACACACACACACACACACCACCACAGACGGCTATTCAGGGCTCGATGTCTTGCTAAGGGACGGTGTGAGTCGACTATTAGACTGAACATAAGTATGTCGCTGGGTAGCGAGCGGTCCATGGTCTGCTAATTGCCAAGAGGCAGAATGAGAGTGGGAAAAATCGATGCTTGGCATTTTCCTTGTAGATATATAATATATATATATATATATATATATATATACTATATATATATCAGGGAGTTAATAAAAAGACAAATTGGCAGCACGCAGGCACACACGCAACACGCATTACGCACGCTTAGGCCGAGCCTGGCGCACGAGCGTAATGAGGCAGCGTAACCTTAGCGTTGCGTGACTTGTGTGCCTGCAACCATTCAGATTGAGGCGGGTGGGAGGGCGCGAGGGGGGAGGGGTGTTAAACGGTAGAAGAATGAAGCCAGCGTGCGTGGCTGCCAATTCGCATGGTGGCTAGTTGAACATGTACAACCACGCGCCAGGCAGCAGCGCAGCAGTAAGCAGCGCAACACCAGACAGCCAGTAGCGACCGACGCCACCAGCAGCAGTAAGCAGCAGTGTGTAGCAATAGCATTAGCAGCAGTGCGCAGCACACCGACTACACACAGCAGCAGCAGAAGCAGTTAGCAGCGAGCACCACCAGCACAGCCAGCAGCAGCAGCAGCAGCAGCAGTAGCAGCACCACCACCACCACCACCACCACCACCACTAGCAGCAGCAGCAGGAGCAGCAGTAGCAGCAGCACCACCACCAGCAGCAGTAGCAGCAGCACCATCACCACCACCACAGCAGCAGTAGCATGATGATGAGGAAGAGGAGGAGGAGGAGGAGGAGGAGGAGGGGGAGGGGCAGCAGCAGCAGCAGCAGCAGGAGCAGCAGCAGCAGTACCACCACCACCAGCAGCAGCACCACCACCAGCAGCAGCAGCATCACCACCACCAGCAGCAGTAGCATGATGATGAGGAGGAGGAGGAGGAGGAGGAGGAGGGGGAGGGGCAGCAGCAGCAGCAGCAGCAGCAGCAGCATCACCACCACCAGCAGCAGTAGCATAATGATGAGGAGGAGGAGGAGGAGGAGGGGGAGGGGCAGCAGCAGCAGCAGAAGCAGCAGCAGCAGCAGCAGTACCTACAATGGCAATGATTATGATGATGACAACAAACAAACCACAGTAGCAGCAGTAGTAGCACCTGTCACTCTGCCCCCTTGCCCTCCCCTCTCTTCCCTACTCTCAATCGCTCTGCTCATTTAGTAAGTGGATCCCTGTTGTTGCTGATAACGACTGGCTTTCATGTCTGTCGCTCATGCATTATGTAGGTGGCGCTATTATCTGCACAATCAATACCCACCCGATGAGGCCAGGTTTCTGCGACCGGGTATCTAAGCCCGCTGCCCGACCCCTGCACTCCGAAAACCCCTGCCGGGCCCCACACTTCAAAACCCCATGAGTGTCCCCGCGATCCGAAACCCACTGCAGGCCCCCCCCCGTCTCTGTGAAATCCCCTGCCGGGCCCCCACAATTCGAAAATGCCACCCGAGCGCTGCACTTCTAAACAAATTTTGCACAGGGGAGAGATAGGGTTCCGCTAGGGGATGGCTCTGATTGGCTAATTTTGTCTCTTATTTATTTTATTTTTTATTATTTTTGGCTAATTTTGGTTTATTTTAGAATTAGAGATAGGGTTAGGGTTAACTGATTTCTATATCCACAAATAGTAGGATATAATATTCACTATCTCTCCCCTGAGACCCACTACTTCTAAACCCTACCAAGCCCCGAAGTCCCCTGCCGGGCCCCACGATACGTTAATCACCGTGGTGTGATAGGTGTACGCTCGAGTAGCGAGCGGGGAGCGGAGTAGAGTGCTTCTGCTGCTGCTGCTGGTGGTGGTGCTGCGCTGCTGCTGCTGCTGCTGCTGCTGCTGGTGATGGTGATGGTGATGGTGGTGGTGATGGTACTGCGCTGCTGGTGATGGTGATGGTGATGGTGATGGTGATGGTACTGCGCTGCTGCTGCTGCTGCTGGTGATGGTGATGGTGATGGAGGTGCTGCTGGTGGTGTGTGGGATGATGCGCGGTCGCGGAGGCTGCGAGAGACGAAGGAGGTAGTGTCGTTCACGAAGCAAGCTAGCGTCGGAAGGAGAGCTGCGTGGAACCAAGACCTGTGAGTTAAACAAAACCTGTGCAGAAAAGACACCTGCACAGAAAGGACACCTGCACAGAAACCAAACCTGCGAAGAAAGATAATCCGACGTAGAAACGCAGAAAAGCAGGATCGTAGGATCGTGGGCGTGCGGTGCGGACGTGAGCTTGTGTCTGGATACATACACACACACACACACACACACACACACACACACACACACACACACACATACACACACACACACACACACACACACACACACACGCACACACCAGCAGGTCTTCACCTTCCTGCGTACGCTCGACCCGCGACAGCGTCTGCCCGTCGAGACGGATGACGTCGTGAGACGTGGCGCCACCTAGCTGCCGACTGCCATTGCTGCGCAGCGCCCCCTGGCGACCGGATGCGAGGGATCGCATGGCATGGCTGAGACTCGTCTCTATGTGTACTTGCAGCGGCTGCTGCATGCCGCCGAAGACTAACCGCGTCGGCGTGACCCAGGGGTCAGAGGTCGCGCCGACGGGCGCCGGACCGAGCATCGCTCCGCCCGACATAACCCTAACCCCCGCGACGCCGGCGCCACCTGCCGGCTCGCTCAGCCCGCTGGCGCCAAGGTACGGCGCGCGTGGCGCCACCTGTGGGTGTGGACGTGCCGTGGTGTCGAGTGGCGCTTTCTTTCTCTCTGTTTCTCTCTCCTGCACTGTGGCACTTGCAGTGAAGCATGTGCAGCGACGTTCTTGTGTTTTTGCTGCATGCATGACGTCAGCGATGGGTCTCTCCCTCTCGTTGATGATTACTAAACTGCATCGAATCAAACTAGACGTTGATTATCGTGTTGCTGTTGTTGTTGTTGTTGTTGTTGTTGTCGTAGTGTTGTTGGTGGTGTTTGTCGCTGCATTTCATTTTACTACATGTTGTTGTTGTTGTTGTTGTTGTTGTTGTTGTTGTTGTTGTTGTTGTCACGCATAGTGTAGCGTGAATGAATGTGTACGTATTGTGTGACGTGCATGCATGCATGCCTGCTACTGCCGCGATGCGATGCCAGCAATTAGAAACTCGTGAGCGTTACTGGCTTCCTGATTCCGTAGTTAATGACGTCACGTGCTGTGTGCCGTTATTATTTCTCACCTTGTAGATTCACCGTTATTTTGTTCGCGTGAGAGATATTTATCTGTTTGTTGGTCCGTCACGCGCGCGCGAGGTATTGTTGCATCAGTGCCATCTGTCTCGTTAAACTCTGCGATGATCAGCTAATTAGTAAATGATCGCGACGTTGGGAAAACAAGGTGCATCGGAAAAAACCCGAAAAAGTGTGAATAATGGAGCGAGAGTAATCGTGCGCGAGTGTGTGCGTGTGTACGCGAGTGTACACGAGTGTGCACGAGTGTGCACGAGTGTGTGCGTGTGTGTGCGTGTGTGCGCGAGTGTACGCGAGTGTGCACGAGTGTGTGCGTGTGTGTGCGTGTGTGCATGATATTAGCAGAGTAGGTGGAGAGAGGACAATGTCATTAGCAGGGTAGGTGGCCGAGAGGATGTGTTAGCAGGTAGGTGAGAGAGGGTGTATTAGCAGGTAGGTGGGAGAGGGTGTGTTAGCAGGTAGGTGGGAGAGGGTGTATTAGCAGGTAGGTGGGAGAGGGTGTATTAGCAGGTAGGTGGGAGAGGGTGTGTGCTAGGGAAGGAAGGTATGCTGATTGGGAATATGGGGCAGGAGAGAAAATGGTGTTGGGTGATGTTATATGGTTGCGTTGAGATTGTATTGGCGGTATGGTCTCTATTAGTCGGTTGAACGCAGTGTAGGGAGTGGTGAAGCTAAAGGGGTAGAAGACAGCCTGTTTGCA